GCGGCACTTGACGTCGTAGATGATGAACAAGGGGGTCCCACCGTTCCGCGAGTACAAGGCTGCCACTTGGTTTCGCTTCCCTTCGGCCGTGGGGCTTTTCACCTCCATCTCCACGAACGTGTTCACCTTCACCCTCGCCCAATCCAGCACCTGCTCGAAGTAGTAGTCATCCCCACCCTGCAGGGTCGAAGCAATGTCCGAGGGGATGTCCAACAGACTGAAGAATTTGAGCCGGTTCATCGGCGCAGGTCCCGATGGGACCTCCTCTTCAGGCACCTCTGCCATGACATGGGGCATTGTCTCCGGTTCGTCAGGGGTTTCCTCAGGAACTGGCGGAGCCGGATCAGGCTTCGCCGGCTCAGGCTCCGGCTTGGGGACTTCAAGCTTGGGCGAAGGCGGCTCCATTGCAGCCTTGCGCTGGTCCAAGATCTCGCTGTGATTTTTGCCATTCCTGCATCTGGAAAAGCGTCTCTGCCGGGATGAGAGGATCCAAGGCCAGAGCCGCGTCCAACTTCTTGTCCACTGCATTGCTTCCTCGAAGGAGCTTGGCCGCGAACTGCACAGCATCGACCTGCCAGGATGGAAGCTGTCTCACCCACGGCAACACCATGTAGGTTGTCTCGTGCAACTGGGAGGCACGGAAAGCTACGATGCTGGAAAAGAGTGTGCCGAAGACCTGTGATGGTGCGTAGCCAGGCATGTACGTCTCGTCCGGCAGGTCAATGCCCCGAAGCCTTGCAGTCAAAAGGTTGGTAATCCTCCTTTTGAGAAGAACCCTTGCAATCGCTTGGGTCACCTGTTCCTTGTTCATCTTCGGATCACAGCGATCATTCAGCATGTCCTGGACAATGAGCCTGAAAGCCGGCTCTCTAAGAGACATGGAATTAACCGCACAACTCTGATTTAATTACTTGGAGAGCCTGACTTGAAAATGGACTACTTTGCACACTGAAGGGCTCCAAGACCCAAAGGAGAAGCGATCGCTGCAGAGGAAGGTTTTTCGGCAGTGCTGTTTTCGCACACAACAGGTCGAAGGACATGAAGTGATTGAAGCAGTGACGATTACCAAACTTTTCATCCAATTGTCCGATCAACAGCTCTGCACCAGGAACCTCGCTGATTCTGTCGAAAACACGGAGAGAATTCTTGATCTTCGTGGCCTTCAAGCCCAATCTCTTCCCGAACCTGATGGAGCAAACATACCAAGTATGTTGAGACTGGAGTTATTCGTCTGTACAGGGGCATTGCAGCACATACACACACATACACGCATACACGCATACATCCATACATACATACATACATACATAGATACATAGATACATAGATACATACGTACATACTACATACATGCATACATACATACATGCATACATACATACATACATTCGCACGTAAGTACATACATGGGTACATACGTACACACACATACATAAAGGTCCATACATACAGATATGTACTTAAGTACATACATGCATGCGTACATATACACTAGACATACACATACACACACACACACACACACACACGCATGCTCACACACACATACGCACACATGCATGCATACATACATACATATATACATACATACATACATATATACTTAGTATTATCTCTGTTATGTATTAAAATCATGATCGAAGCTTTCAGTCCGACAGATCACGCAAAACAGGTCACAAACCGAAATCAAGTGACCACTTCTCCATATCCTGATCACTGCTTCCCTTGCCCTGCTGCTTCAAGAAGTCCCTCACGTACGCCAGTGCCTTCATCTGGCGAAAACCCTGCAACACCAAAACATCCACTTCATCCTTGATCTCTTGAGCAAGCTCGAACTTCTTGTGCTCAGTCTCGTCATCTGTGGCCAGATCCACGAACTTGACCTGAAACGGCCATGATCACAGCTTGGAAAAACCGACCCCCAACATCTGCGAGTACCGCTGCTTGCGGACCGGATGCTCGGATGCAGCGGGCCTGATGCACGAAGCCTTTCAAGGTCTCGGCATCCTGCTGTCCGTTGTTCACAGCTTCTTTCGCGTGAAACCAAGCAAAAATGAAAGCGGTTCGATCGGGATCGCGGTGGAGAGGCGTCAAATTGGTGAGGTCGGGCAGCGACTTGGAGCCGCGCACTGAGATCACTTCAAGAGCACCACCCGCCGACCACAGGTGTTTGCCGTTCTCATCCGTGGTGCGGTAGCGGTTTTCGGCAAGGGTGCGAACAGCTCCTGACCCGGGACATGACAACCTGTTTAAGCTGAAGCTCAAGCTTACACTGATTATGATGTCATGTGGACGGTCCTAAGGCAGGTGGTATAGTCGCATGAGCGAACCGGAGAGGGTCGAAGCTACGGATGGTCACGTTGCATTCGTATGAGGAACTCTTCTTCATCCACCGAAGGTATTCATCAGCATCAAACGCCTGCACTCCGGCAGCCGCTATTGGATCCAGGCCGGCCACTTCCTGCTGGGTGGAAACGGAACCCCTGTCACGTGAAGTCGCAACCGTCAGTTGTCACTGCATCAATGCAGTGCGAAAATCGCAGTGATCTAAATTTAATGTCCCGTCCTTGAACTCGTCGGCGAGGAAGTTGATGGCTGATTGTACAAACTTCACACAAGGATGATTCCGGAGTTCGTCCGACAGCTTGCTTTGCTTGCCACTCACACGACCCTGTGGGTCTGCAGCTGCCCGCTTGCTCATTCTGAACACCCCGGGAGCAGTCGGCCCAACTCTGAAAAATAAGCTGTATAGTGTTTTGAGCCACAGAGTTGACAGATGTCTTTCAACTCTGGGGGGGCACGGTTTGGCCAAAAGACGACAGACATCAGTCAACTCTGGGGGCGGAAACTCTGTGGCAGAACCGGGCATATACCAATGAATCCGAAACCCACTCGCCCCAGAGTTCAAAGACATCTGTCAACTCTGTGGCAGGATTTGCCCACAATCCGAAAACCCAGAGTTCAAGGATGGCACACATGGCAAATCTGAGCCGCTATTTAAGGTACTATTACGACAGACCTAACCTACGCCTGCAGAAGAAGAGATTGCATTCTTGAATTCGTGAACCTCCCAGCCCGACACACAGGTCACACGCGCACAGCGGGGTGCACCGTCTCGTAGGGTAGTGCGACCAGGCGTCTGCACAGCGGTTGAGAACAACCAGCACATATCTTGAAATGTGTGGCAACTGTGCAATTGCAACCACTGGCATGTTCGATCTGCGTTGAAACTACCCTGAGCAGTGCCTTGCCCACGGCAAAGAGGCAATCGGTAGACCTGGCCGCTGCAAACTTTAAGGCTGGCAATAAAACCGCTCACGATCAAAGACGGCACACAAAGGAAGCAGTTGCTTTGTTTCTGAGTCTGTACTTGCCAATCCTGAAAGCATTGTGAAACAGACATTGTCCGCTGCAATGGCAGATCAATGCTTATGCCCCCACCCCAAGAAAAAAGCAGATCAATGCTTATGCCCCCAACTCAAGAAAAAAACTCGGACAGCAACTGTGGAAATGCTCTGTCCATCTCCCTGGTGGCATATCTGGCCACACATGCCACGCATCAGCAAGCTCACACCAGTCTGAGAACTGGTCGTTTACGGGTCGCGGACAGCCTCTCCACTTCTTCCCCCAAGCGATCAATGAGGGCTTTCCTTAGGACTTACTCGTTAAGACATTTAATTGAGACCTGGAGCCTTGGCCACAACCGTCTAAAATTCAGCAATGAGTCTGGAGAGCATTTTTCTGATTGAGCTCAGCATTCACCGCCTCCACGCCACGAAGTGCATCGATCTTGGCCCTTGAAGTATCGTGCGAATGGGGCTGAAAAGAGACTGCCCTCTATCACTCGAAATTGGAAAGCATCATTGGCATGCCGCCGAGCAACTCGAGCTCGCGAACTTTCTCTTCCCTTACATCACACACAGGCAGACACACGCGCGCACACGCACTCACACCATGTGCGAGCAAGTATGTAGGAGTAAAACAGCAGCTGTATGCCACATTTCACTACCACATGGCCCCGCTATGCCAAAGTGCAGCAAAGAATCAAGCTTGTTATCATGGCACCATCTTTCCTACACAGCAATCGGACAGGAAGACATTGTCTCCTAATTACACAGCAGCCGCAACATTATGCAATGCACGTACACAGAGTCTCCTGGATCGATGCTTGTTCTTTCGATTGTTCTCATACTCCCTCTGTTTGAGTTTCTTCAGAGTTTTGGCCGCTTCGGCTTCCACATCCACAGAAACCACTGCATCAGGGTGACCTTGAAGCTCACATTTCACTTTCAAGAGCCCCGGCTCTTTCTTGACAGGAACCAGTGCCATGGCTGCAGTACCAGAGGCTATCAAGATTCTTACAGGTTCAGATTGCCAGCGATGAACAAAACTAACTTTCAATTCAGCAACTCGCTTGCAAGCAGCTGTCGTGGCTGCAGTCACGATGGAATTACGAATCGGAATCAGTCAGACGATCATCGCAGAAGCTGGTGCAGGACATGTTCAATTATGAGCGAGGGGCGCACCTCACGGCCTGGCAAGGGACGCACCGCCTCAGAACCAGAGACAGGAAGCAACAAATCATAGAAGTGAGCATGCAGTCCTGTCGTGCAGGCCACCACAGTTCAGACAGACTTCACAATAATTGCAATGACAGCTTCGCCCACACTGCAAGCGTTCAGCCGCACGAAGGGAGGAGACCGCTTGAAAGACATGTTTCAACCAAGGGCACAACACCATCCAGCTGGACAGCCGAAAGATCGACCTTGGAACTGGGACACAACATGCACAACTTAACAGCCACTACTAAGACTGCAAGTGCTCTCCCAGTGCCAGCAAATGACTCTGATTCCTGCCCTGCTTGCTGCAGATCGCCACATTTTGCATGGCCCTCACGACGAAGCTACACGGCAAGCGGCCTACTCGATGCACACGTGCAGAAGCAAAGCATGGACCATGAGCCTTGATGGTTCACTTTGATTCTGATAGCATTGCACGTGTTACGACTCGTAGCAGGAGGCATACATTCGAAAGAGGCCAGCTAAATCAATCGTCTGGACTTCGACTTCATTGCCTTTCATGTCCAGCCGCTGGCATTCTTCTGAAACTTCTGTGGACAAGCCAAGATGAAATGTGTTAGCAGGGAATTTCAGCCGCTCATCCGCACCCGGCAGTCCAAGACGAACGTCCAGGCGAGGATTCTTATCCTTGCCAATGGACGGGGCACGAGCCGCACAAGCGTGCAGCACTCGGACATGTTTCGGATATGCATCGCGGAAAGACTGACTCATGTAGATCACAGAATGGCATAGCTCCATTCCAGGGCGGAAGCGCAAAACTCGCCCAGTCTTATCAGCAAGTCGTGCTCCATCCAAGCGGGCTTGTAGGGCTGCCGCGCTGTCGTAGTCTCCAAGAACTGAACCAACCAACACCATATCAGCACGCACACCAAGCCTCGGAACCCGCTCGAACGAAGTATCGACAGGCCAAGGCTTGTCCCGTCGGGCCTGGACAGCAAGCAGCACCTGGTCTGACTCAGAAAGCAGCTTGAACTTCCTGGGTAAGGGAGGGCACGTCTTCGCCGCTGGCAAAGTCACAGGCTTGGCCCGCATCAATCCGCCCTTGGACCCTTGGAATCAACGAAGGGGGTTGGTCCAGTGCGTGCAGACATCGCTTGAGTTTGCCGTCGCTTTTGGGCCACCGCCTGTTGCTGCTCAATCGCTTTGTCAGCGGTGCTCCAGTCGATACCCATCTGCTCGTCCAGGGTTGTACCTGATTGCAGCATAATCTGGATTTTGATGTTATCTGGGTGGGACTATTTTTTTTTGAAACCTGGGACTGGGACTGGAACGACCAACTTCAGATTGCCAAATGCGGACTTGGGTGCGTGTTGTACCGCTGCTGCCAGTTGCGTCACCAGAGGGCTCTGGAGGTCTCCCGTGACCGGATGCATTAGCAGCAGTCTGCTTCTGATTGGACTGGGCATTTGCAGAAGCACTTTGTTTCTGCTTCTTCTCCTGCTGCACTTCCCAGGTCTCGTCAGCAGCTTCGCTCATGAGCCGTTTTCTGTTGCCATCCGCCAGATTGGGGTTGACAACGCGATTGCCCAGCACCCCCTCAGCGTGAGAATCCACAGTTGACAAGGCAGCAACAGCAGCCTTGCACGCACCAGCATGCGATTCGAGCCACGCCGTCTCTGAATTTTGGCTTCGCTGCCGTGTGCTCTCCAAGCGGGGCTTGGCAGCCTTTGCGCGGGCCAACACCTGTTCTGAGAAAGATGCTGGGCGAACATCGCGAGCCTTGCTCGCCTTCTCGCCAAACCAGGTCGCGTAAGTGCGCTGCGCTCTTAAAAGGAACGGTGTGGGCGGAAAGAGAACCGGCGCCCCTCCTCCAGATGCTCGGGCGGCAGCGGGCTTGCAGAGCAGAGCGTTCGGGCTCAGGCGATCACGACGTCTTCCTTTCAAATCCTGGACCACAAGTTTCAAAGAAGCCGCGATGGAGCGGACATGCAGCGTAGAACGGCCAGCCAGCAATGACCTTTTCTCCCCAATCCACCGTTCGACGACGCCGGTCCCAGCAAGGGAGCTGAGATATATCTCTATGAAACGCTTGGCGTCCAAATGCTGTGACTTCCCACCTTGTCCTAAGCTCTTCGCAGCGACGTATGAAGAATGAGTACCCCACTCATTCTTAAAACGAAAATTGGCGACTGGGCTAGACTTACAAGTTCTGATTCATACCACTCGCATCCGAAACTCGCTCTGCTGCATGCAAGTCCTGCCAGGTCCGCAGCCACGCCCGCTGATGCATGGACTCAGGCAAGTGGCACTTGGCCTGGGTCTCGGCGGCAGCAGCGGCTGCAATTCCAGCGGGTGACGCCCAGTACTGCGCACGATGCAAAAGTCCGTTCTCATTCCCACGGGGCCCAACGAATGACCGCCACGCTTTCTGACCGTCAAGCTGAAAAATTTCACACCCCGCTCTGACGAAAGCCTCACGTTCCCCCAAGGAGAGGTTGGCAGTGAGATTGAAGCATGTGAAGCTGTTCGCCTCCTCCCAAGATAGCCAAGATAAAATCCGATTAACCAGAAATACTCAACGCCCAGTACCCAAAAGTTGATTTACAGAGTATACTACTTCTGACCCGGGGTGTGCCTCGAAGCCAGGAAAGTGGCTCTTGAAGAACGCTTCCCAAACATAGTAGAACCTCGTCTAGATTAACCCGTTATGCACTGACTTCCAGTGAAGTGAGACTCGTAAGACATCAACAGTTGAAAGCGAAACCTGCTGTGCAAGTCCAGTAGCTTGTGGGCCAACCTCTGAGGCTCGAGTCGTGCTTCAGAGTCCGGCGCAGGCCAGCGCACGACCACAACAGCGCTTCGATCCGTCTTCTGATCCGTGAAAAGAACTCGCTGCTTGACCGCGCCCAAGACAGAGTGTACCAAGGTGCCCTTAGCTGCTGGGAGCCAAATTGCCCCCTCCAGCAGCATGGATCGCAACAGCGACAAGCACTCTGCAGCCTGAACACCAGTAAGGCCAATTTCAGGAACGGCCAACTCATTACGAGTGCGTCCGCGATCAGGGCCGACCCCACCAAGCGAATGTAGCCCTTGTCACCGCCCCAATCTTGCAACAGATTTCGGCACCACACAACATCAGCATCTGTAAACGATGTGCCGCCTTCGGTCACCCTTTGAAGGCATTCCATCAGGATGGGTAACATCGTAAACAAACGCACCAGGGGCCGTTTCCGGCTGTCGAAGCGATGATCTGCAAAGGAAAACCCTTTCAGGAACCGGCAGAAAGATGCCCCATCTTCCCGATCTGCCATGTCCTTCTGGCACTCCAGAAAGAGCTGCGAGAATTTCGCCGATTTCTCGAGCAATCGTGCGAGGCTCCGCTCTCCATGCACTAGCTTTTCCAAGGTTTCCTGGAACAGAGTTGGCAGCTTCGATATAACGAGCTTGTCGATTGATCTGTATCTGTGAGCCGCATCTCGCACGATCAAGCGAAGGTGGGGCAACAAAGGCACGTACCCTGGCTCCTGTCGCAACTCAGGTCCAGCGGCTGAAGATTCAAAAAGGCAGCGTTGCTCAGTCGGCCCGCCATCTGCCACTGCAGTAAAAATATGATCGCAGAGATGATTGTAAAGACCAGCGTCGAAACGGTCGGATGGAGAATTGAACATGTCGTCGGCTGGCCGTCTGCAGCGGGCTGGGATAATGCAAACCTGCTTCAAAAGCAACTGCAGCGCCTCCAACATCCCTCTGCTGCTATCCTGGACCATATCTGGCGTCACAACACCCAGCAGCATCTCATAAAGACCCGTCGGACCGACCAAGCGGCCGTAAACGACCAAATGGTCGCCCCCTTTGTCCATGGCTATACCGATAGCCCTGCATTGCCTGATCCGAGCGATGTCCACCTCACGGATCCCATCTTCCAGGCACAGTATCATTTTTCGAGTAACAGTTTTGCTACTGTCTGCCTGCAGGGATGAGCCTGGTCCCGATTTCCGAGGACTCCACCCGTTTAGGCTGCTGCTCGTAACCGACACGCGAGCACAACAACCCGACGGCTTGAATCCAGCGATCCATACGGGGAACGTCAGCAGCAATGGTGGAGGTAACCCCACCGTCTTCTGCTTCTGCCAGGTTTTCTGATGATGGCGCAGCCACTGGATCTGACCCACCCAGGAGTCTCTCTAAACAAGCTGCATGTTTCTTGCCGCTTCCATGCTGCATGATATTCTGGAAACCCACATGGTCGGAGCCCTTCAAGCTTATCTCGAACCTTCCCCAGGAAGTATTTGCATTCTGTACATGACAAATGTAGCAACCGATCTTGAACGTTGGTGACTTCAGCGCCACCAACCACGTGAAGACTGATCCGTTCATGTTGAAAGTACATTTGTACTTCCAGCCCAACTCACGATTTTCGGATTTCAAAGAGGCACATCCCCTGCGGAGCCGACCAAGGTAGCCTGATCACATGGAATCCCCGAGAGTGAATCTTAATCGGAATCGGAATGTGAGGCCTAATAATAATGGGTCATCAAACTTGAGGGTCTATGGCTCCGTAGGTTGCTCATACAGCGGGAGTATTGGCTTAAGGCTTAGAAAACTTAATCAACCCAGGCCTGCCGCGAAGTGACAATAAGCACACTTGCTGAAACCCAAATCGCAGGAGTCAAGGTGCTCTCGCAAATCCAGCAGTTTGGCGCGATGAGCTGTCGGGATGCTGGTCAGCACTGGTGCCTCCAAAACCTCTGCCCTTCTTGCACGAGCAGGCTCAGGCTCACCCATGGAACAGCTGACTATTGCAATCGCTTTACTACCACGTCACACCATTCTATTCTAACCTTGATAACTCTTAGTGTCAGACCTCCCAATTTCGAGAGATGCTCCTAACAGTTCAATGTCGCAAGACCTGCATTTCAACTCAAATTCGATATCAAGGACTTGCGCTCGAACAATCAGTCAGAGATAACGAATTGCACAGGAGCTTGCGAACTTACCGAACGCAGCAGGCAGAACTGAGCAGAGACTGAGAACCTCGCACCAGCCAAATCATCGTGGCAGACCAGCGACCGGATCTGGGATGATCAGGCAGCCAACAAACCGAAAGGAAGAGGTAAGGGTTGAATCAGCCCATGATAGCCCATGGCCCATGATATCCTTAAACACGAAACCAACACTACTACTAAGTGACTCGGTCTCAGTCCAACCCGTTCAACCAAAACACAACGTGCTGTTGGGACTGACTCAGCCCCCTAGCTTCTTATTGCTCCCCCACGCTAGCCTTTGGGCTGACTCAGCCGTTCTGTAGGCCCAACCGGTACTTCAAGCTCTAGGGCTGACTCAGCGGTTCTGTACGCCCAACCCACAATTGAGACTAACACAAAGGAGCTGACTCAGCCCCGCGCCACAAAAAGGACCTGACTCAGTGACCCACCACAACAAACTGCTTATCAGCCGTCAAAAGCACTCAGTCCGTGATGCGGTGAAGTGAAGTGGAATGACTTTTGAGGGACAGAGGGTTTGGGTGGGCCGGGCGGGGGAGGGTGTGCCCAGATCCGGGTGCTGAGCCCGGATCTCGGATGGGGGTGGGATTGGTGTCTGGGTCCTAGTGGGGCCAGGTCTGGGGTTCAGATCCCGGTCCAAGCCCCGGAACGGGCCCCGGAACCGGGCCCCGCAACCGGGGTCCAAAACCGGGCCCCGAAACGGGCCCCGGAACCGGGCCCCGGATACGGGCCCCGGAACCGGGCCCCGCAACCGGGGTCCGAAACCGGGCCCCGAAACGGGCCCCAGACCGGGCCCGGAACCGCGGGTCCCGGAACCGGGCCCCGGTACCCCGGGCTCCATTAGAACAGGGCCCGAAACCGGATCCCAATCAGACCCCAAACCGAACCCAGGAACCGGGGAAGGCTGGGATGGCAAAGTGAAGTGGTGGGATTGGGGAAGGTGTCAACGAAAGAAAGCCGAGTCAGGATCTGGATCCCGGGACGGGGCCCGGATCCGGGACCCGTTTCCGGGGCCCGGTTCCGGGACCCGGTTCCGGGACCCGTTTCCAGAATGCACCGCACCGCCCCCCGCTTAATCTCACACATTCCTTCGGCAGCCTTCACGCCCGCAAAGCGGTACCCGCCACCGGGGCCCGCAAGTGGGACCCGCAACTGGGACCCGCAACCGGGACCCGCAACCGGGACCCGCAACCGGGACCCGCAACCGGGACCCTAAAGAAATAGAACCGGCAAGTGTGCCCAAGAATCACAACGGCGCAACAGCACCAAATTAACACAAAGCCTGAGTGAAGAAACAGACGAGAGCGACTTGATGATGGAGCAACCGGGGCCCGGATTTGGGGCCCGGCTCCGGACCCCGTCGGGAACAGTTTGAGGTTTAGTTGATGATTCGGGTTGGTTTATTGGTGTCGGTGGTGGGTTGCCGACACCAACAAAGAAGAACTATAATCGAATTGGGCTTGGGTTGTTTTCGTGAAGGGGCTGGCCAAGATGCCGAATCACGTCAACCATAAGCGTTATCTTTCATAGGGCAGTGGGGTCGCGAGTGCAGTGGGTGTTCTGTGGTGGTATGGGAACAACCAGAACCTTAGCAGTGGCTACACTCGCAATTAAAGCAGTCGCAAAAAATAGTATTTGGCAACTCGCAGCTAAGCTAGCAGTATCAATCACCACTCAATCACCACCCAAATCAGGGTCCAATTGAAAACTAAACCTCGACCACTAACACTAACAGACAAACCCCAGCAACACCCATCTGCTCTGTCTGGGGCACCTGGCCTTTCTGATGAGGCGCCCGCGGACCCGAATGATGCGACCTCGAATAGCACAGAAGCGAACTGAATGATACACCAACGTGCACGATCACATGCCGCATGTGTGCAATGTTTTGTGATGCTACCCTGCAGCTCACAGCACACTGTTCACTGACATGACACACACTGGCTTGCAAGCGCGGAATACGTCATCCTACAAACCAAGTCCGAAGTCCAAAATGCGAGCCCATCTCGGGCTCCCGGCTGCGACACCGCAAATGCCTGGCAGCAGAGCATGTCATTTTCATGAACAGCCAAAGTCCATGGCTAGAGGGCAAACGCATGTCACGAGAAGATATCTAGACTCTAGACATGTTGCTATGCCGTTATGCAATGCAGACCTGTCGGAAACATTGAATACCGGACTTTTCCACTCTCTCACTCGGAATCGGAGTCCAGCAGATCTTCGAGAACGACGGCACTCTCCTGACGACGAGCCCTTCGAGCAGCCTGTTGAGCTCTCCGCTCTGCCGCCTCCTCAGATCTGCGCCGCTTCTTGGCCTCCAGCGTAGCACGGCGCTTCTCCAATGCAGCAGCGTTCTTGGCCTGCTTCTCCGCCGCCTTCTTCGCCTCCGCTTTCCGATGCAAAGACTCCACAGCTTCAGCGCCCACTCTGGCTCCCAGCTCGAAGGCAAACTTGACACGCTGAGCAAGAGTCTTCGACTTAGCCTTCGGATCAGGCCTGGAACCAGATGGCTTCTTCCCGCTGCTCTCGCTGCTGCTGCTACTGCTGCTGCTGTCGCTGTGCTTATTGCCTTCAGCAGAGTCATCCAATGGCACCTCCGCAGCAGCAGGTCCAGGAATCTCAGGCTTGGCAGCAGGTTCAGGTACGCCAGGCTCAGCAGCAATAACGTGGACCGGTTCCATTAAATGGTCGCCTGCGTCGGCCGGTCCATTATCGTCTCGCGCAGCCGGATCCATCAAATGAGCGTCGTCTCGCGCAGCCGGATCCATCAAAGGAGCGTCGCCACGCGCAGCCGGATCCATCAAAGGAGCGTCACGCCCAGCCGGGTCCATTAAAAGATTGTCGCGCTCAGCAGCCTCAGCAGGATCCACCCGTGGCGGCACGACAACAGCTGCTCCAGGAGCACGCGGCCGCGGTGGCACAACACCAGGAAGGGCAGGTCGCGGCTGCACCAGTACCTCATTCCGAAGCGCAGGCACATCAATTTAATAATGTTAAACCCAGCACAAACCTAAGAGGACAACCCTAACAAAAAAAGCAAGGCAAAGTCAGCCCAGTAGCAGCTGGAGCTTTCGCCTTCGCCGCTTGTTTGGCAGCAGCATACTCCAACATGCGCAGGCGATTCTTCTCGGCCTTCGTCATATAGCCGGCCATTGAGTGAAACTTCCGAGTGAGAGAGTGAGAGTGAGACTGAGATTGAAGAGAGTGACAGTGAGTGAGTGAGTGCCAGACAGTGAGTGAGTTAGTGAGTGAGTGTGCGTGGGCGGGTCGGCCGATGGGTGAGTGATTAATTGTGTGATTAATTGTGTGTCACAGTCAGTCTGAACCATCAATAGTGCCCGAGCTGCAGCGCGAAACCTCATCTGAAGCCCGAATGCCACAATTTAATCCCCGCTAAACCACAAAACCTCAAACCTTCCCTCAATTCAACTCCCTGTACCGAATCATCCCTTAACTCCCTGGACTCGGGCGACACCGATCTGGGTAGGGAAAATCGGGAAACCCAACCACTAACCCGACCCTCCCTGAACTCCCATCGGGAAACCCTAAACCCTTTAAACCCGTGCAAGCCCCCAAGCCTCCAGACTCGGAGGGGAAGCCAGCATCGAAGCCATTGCCCGTCCTGCCTCGGCAGCAGAGGGGGCTTAGGGAGTCCAAGTATTGGAGGTTTAGGGGTTTAGGGTTTTGGGGGCTTATGGTTTTCGGAGTTTAGGACATTTTTAGGTGCACCACAAGAAAGCCAAACAACCCTAAGTCGCAAACCCCGAATTTCCAAATACAAACCCCAAGCCCAAACCCCAAAATATCCGATAAATGCGTCGCCCACCCTCCCCGTCCAAAAACCGGTACCAACTAAACTAAACCTAGTCCCAAACCTTTAATTCAATCGCTTAAAGACCCCCGTTAGGGCTGACTCAGCCCAAAACCACAAACTTAAGTTATGAAAAAAAAGGACTGACTCAGTCCACGGCAAATCTAG